CTGGGTGTACTTTGGTGTTTATGCAAAATCAGTCAGTGACTTCGCATGGCCTTAGTCTGGTACCACTTCGTCATCTTATCTCCTCATGCGGTGGGGAGACTCGTCTTAGGAATAAAAAAAAGATTGAATGAAAAGTAGGCTCCGAACGTTAGATCTACCGCATTATATCCATGTCATGTGCATCTCAGATCATGTTTCCCCAATCTCTATGAAACTGTGAAGCTAAAAAAAAAGGAAGAAAAAGATTTGGGGGGGGGGGTGCGGGGGATATCACTCGTAAAGAAAAGGGATACACTTGATAAATAGGTTGTGGGTAATCTTCTTCTTTTTTTTTTAAAGAAGAATGATCCCATTGGTTAATCATTAGTTACAAGGTACGAAAACGTCATTCCCGTCTGTAACAGGATTCAGTCATAACAGTGATGTCACAACAGTCTAGACGATCCTGTTTTTGCCGAGGCCTGTGGTTTGCTGAAATGAATAAGAAATAATCCGAAAATAAACTCTTTTACTGGGAGTCCGCTTTCGGTGGATACGAGGTTCGCTGTAAAGGAATTCATAAGTTTACAACGCTACAGCTAATCATACCCTTGTGTTACTTCCTATCGTTCCTTTCGAAAGGTTTGCTTTGCTTGTAAGCTTTGGAATTTTCATTGAGGTGAACTTTGTAATGCTATTATGTTTATGAACGAATGTAACAATGTGAGGCAGCGTGGTGGAATCAGGCTCTCGTCAAAATAATCAAAGTGAAGAAACTTGCATTTTTACACAGGTTTGTGAATTTTTTTCATTTTTTGTTTTTTTGGCTCAATACCTTTCATGCCCATTAAAGAACTCATTTCTGTATGGATTTTTCTGAAAAACGCTGATTAAAGGCACAAAAAATGTAAATTTTCAGTTACCATGGACTCTTAAGCTAAGGAAATAATTCATCTTTGGCGGTCCTTTTCTCACTAATCTTATCTCTGAAAACAGGTGACCCCCCACCCCCTTCATTCGCAAATATCTCGACTTGTATTCAAGATAAATGGATATTTTTTTCACCCAAATAAAGACAAACGAACAAGCTTTAAAATGACACCAATAACTATACATGCCCAAAAATTGACGAGAGCCTGATTCCACCACGCTGCCTCACCAATGACCAATGTAATACTGTGGCCTCGCTATAGGACTACAAATTTCAACTCCACTCCAGCAAGTATGTAGGTTAGCGTGGGAAGGGGGGGGGGAGGGTAACCAGGGACTACCTGTGCCCGGAGCAGGCGTGGTTGATGGCCGTGAGGAGCGGGTAGTTCCCGGCCCAGC